ATGGAATTTAATGCTTTGAAAGACTTCATGATTTCTTTCTGACAATAGTGGGAAAGCTTAACAAAGGGAGGACTGTTGTAGACTGAGTTTAGTTAGCTGAATTCTTTTGTCTAAGAAATTTTGCTTAGCACAAGCAAAGTGCTGAAGTTTTAGGCCACAAGCTGCAAACTTTCACCTTGAAATGCTGAATGAGTCTTGTACTACTGTTTAGCTACAATGAAAGGAGGCTCTGAGACCACTGCAAACTAAAAGATTAAGTCATGGTTGTCATGAGAAACTGCAACCCATCCAGATAAAAACAGCTACAGAGAAATAATGTGATAATGAACAAGAACACCCCAAAACAAAAATCACCATTGGAGTAAGAGGTGAATGCAAGGTGCGTGAAGTGTGCAAAGAATAGGTGCCTAGGTTGTAAGAGTATAAAATCCCGGGCATTTCTTTGTTCTGGGTCCCCCCGGTAAGGCACCTAGCTTGAGCTGCCCCTGTTTCAGTACCACAAAATTAATAATGTTTTTTCCCCAGAAACTGGATGTTGGAGACTCAGCTGTGGGAAGCCTGGGGTGAATAAACTTCTCTAATAACTTACACACAGGCAACTAATCTTCCTTTACAACAACTTCATAACTGTAAATAGTACAAGGCAATTCACACTCGGGCACTTATTTTGCTCTATTTTAGAGTGTAGAAGAATTAAGACCCCAAAAGCAATTTCACTTTATCACCTATAAATGTGTGTGCCCATGTGATTCTAATACCAAACTTCAAACAATTAATTTCATGAATTAAAGCATAGCTAATCACATTATTTGCAGAAGAATAAGAGTATCCCAAAACACAAAAAAAAAATAGCTTCAGCTATTGCAAGCAACACACCGAAGAGACACATGGAGTTAGACTCTACCCTGTGGCATTCTGTTTTCATGTGTGCCAGTACTCACTGAATTACATAATTGCCTACCACAACTTTCCTCTAGACAATCCTTATGACACTGTAGTTGAAAGCATCCTAGCAGGATAAACTATTTAAAAATAAGAAAATTACAGTCAGTCTAAGATAAAATTCCATAGCAACTTTCCATGCCATTTTAAAACCACACAAATTCAAAAGCACAGTATTCAGGAGCCATATATAAATGTTACCAGAGTCATCATAGACAGTCATAAAAGCCAGAAAATCTTTTCATGAAAGAAAAAATCCTTTTAGAAGTATTAGCAATGACAGTTTAGAGATTTCAAAAGAACAGAAAGTATTACTGCATGATCATCAAATTTAATTTTCCTGGCCTGGTAAAGAATGCAAGCTCTGCAACTAGGCCTTTTGAATAAAGAGCTGGCAAATGCAGTTTGGTCACTGTGGTAAGAATGAACCGAGTTAACATCAAGTGGTGCAATTACAAGAGCTGCAATACCTTCAACCAGCCTTTACTGAAATCCTCAGCTAATACAGTCTAAAAATCACAAAACAACCATCAGTAGAAGATAAAAAATACACCTTTAAGGTCAACAGTATAGTTTTGGTAAACAATGAAATAGGATTCCATTTTCTCCATAAAAAACAAAGCTTAAAAAGTTGTCTCCTTACAGTTGTGTCATTTCATAATAAATAGTTTGGATTCTAAAGGTCAAAATATTGCATTAGCTGGCCAAGTCCTCTCAGGAGGTTTGCTTTAAATTGAAAATATCTCTAGAAATTTGGTAAGACCTGCTCTGAAAAACTCAGTGCAGAGCTACATAAAAGAAAAAAAAAAAGCTACCTTACGGAACTTTGTGGCTAAACCTTCCACTCAAAAATCAAAACATCATACCACAAAAAATCTCCAACTACTGTAAAACTTCTTATATAACAAGATAGACTCAAAGTGCATCTAGTCTTCTTCCTAAAGACCCTGTTTTACAGATTCAATATGCTTAAGAATTAATACTAGAATAAAACAAAAACCATTAAACTTAACAAGACTTTTTGTAGTCCAAACAGGCAAACACCCTAACAATTAGATAAAACAGAAGTCCAAAAGAGGGTTATGAAGACGGATCAGGCTGTAGAATATCCAAAAGAAGGCTGTAAAAGTTATGAAAGGGTTAGTGAGTCTGTCTTATAAGAAAAGGCTGAAGGAGCACATCTCTTCCCCTGTGACAAGGCTTTATATAAGCCACATCATAGTACCCCAGGTACTTGGAAAGCTACAATAATGAAGGCTCTCTTCACAAGGATTCTCATGAAGGTGAGAGGCTACAGTGGGGACAAGCTGTGCAAGAAGAGATTTCATCTGTTTTAAGAATTTCTTTCTGGTATTACCTTACACTGAAAAAAACCTTCTTAGCGTTAAGCCCCCATCAAAGAAGGCTTTCAAAATGAAACTGGACAAGGTAGCAGATGAGGTCTTCAAGGCTGCTTTTCCTAGGAAAGATTGGACCAGAGCATCCTTTGAGGTCCCTTTCAACATGGCCTTTCAACCCTGCTCTGTGATAAGATGATTCCAAAAACACTACAATACAGGTCCATCATCTCAACTGTAACACCACCAGAATCTGATTCTGCTGTTCAGATGGGTCTACATGCTATTTTGTGCTAATAAATATAATTAAGTCAGTTGTAGTTATGCCCAAAATCAGAGAGAAAAAAATCACTACGGAAGTCTAGAAACAAAGTCTTAAGTTTGGTGTGTTGTTTTATTTTTTTTATTAAAAGTTTAGCACTTAGTTTAACAATTTAGTCATTTTAATCAAGCTTAATTATTTCCCGTAACAGAGTTGCACTCCTCTAGCAATGCATCTGTTATTAGAAACTTTGTGCCAAACTGTGGGAGTACAAGGATGTTCCCCAGAGACTAGTCATTATGAACTGTTAAATTGATAGAGCCCTGAATCTTTTATAAAATCCAGAAGTTTCCTGGCTGAAGCCTGTGTAACAAACCAACTTTTGTATGGCCCATATAAAAAGCTGACCCCCTCCCTTCCAAAAAACAGCAAGATTTTTCTCTGAACATGCCACTTGCTTAACATTTGTCAGCTACACCATCATTTGTGTATTTACCCTAACTCAGAGGGTTCTCTGCAATTCAAAGCAGACTTGCTAAGACAGAACATTCAAAGGAGGAACACACAGTCAGGACCAAGTCTTGACTATCCACACTGGTTTAGCATCTTAAGCACTGTACTTTTGTAATCCTTACTTCCTAACAAGCTCAAGATAAACAAAATCCAGAACAGATGCTATGTTTCAAGAAGAAAGTGCATTTTTAAATATAGAAGAGAAACTCTTCTTAAAATAGATCTTAATGCCTTTTCACTAAGGATACTATAGTCTGCAGTCTTTTCTCCATTTTAAGTTAGCAGGAAATTGAAAAACTGTGCACATGCCTGTTGTCTCTGTATGAGAAAAGAGATTTCTTAACACCAAGATTACAGTAGTCAAGACACTCCACAAGGCCCCTGGGTATTGCCAAGAATTAAGACACCTATAGGCAGGCAGGGGGTAAAGGATGGTCTTCACACACCACCATGCTCCTGGTAAGTTACTGATAACAACCAGTTCCTGTTGAAGAACTCTTTCATCAGAACAAAGAATGAGACTTTTCTGTTAACTGAACAGACTCCTTCAACTTCTGTTGACAACCACAGTAAAGTAACCTTTAAATAAAATAAACTGTTATAGTCTGAGTACTGGTCTTAGGGGACAAGGTCACATAATTGCAGAAAAACATCAAAAAGACTAGTTTCATATAGCTGCCCAAAAAGACAGTGACAACTTGTTGATACCTTCCTCTACAAAGGTGCTCATTATCCAGCATGTATTTAGCATTGACAGATTCTCTGCTCCACAAACTGCTACAAATACATTAACTAACTGCTGTTAGGAAGAGTGTAAGACTTGTAAGCCTAAGCAATATAATAGGTAGCACTGGCATCGACTTGATGGAGCAACAACCCCAGTTCACAGGCCTTTTTCTAGGGCATTAAAACACACAGAACAATTACTGACAGTTTAACAGGAGCTTTTACTACCAGAAGAAAATATTTTAATAATAGATTATGTGTTAGGCTTCATTGCTTCCTGCAGAAGAATGGGAATCTACAACTCAAGAGGGTGAAACCAGAATCTTCTCTAGATATTCTCAATATTTGGAAACAATCCATCAGTTCTCAGATACTTTAGATATTGAATCCAGCAACCTGAATTTCAATACCAGGTAAGTAGTAACAATCAGCTCAAAATGCAAGGAGGTATAGCCCACAAAGCCTCCAACTGCAAAGAGGACTGCCACAGACATTTCAGTACAAAAGCCAACTGACTCCCTCTTTCCCCAAGCAACACTACACATCAAAACCTAGCAGCTGACCATTCCTGAACACCGTGCTGAAGAGTTACCCCAGAAAATAAGGTTTTATTCAAAGGCTGGTCCACCAATGCAAGCTCAAGGCAAAATAAGCATTTCTGGAGAAGTCAGAACTCTGAAGACACTGAAAGGGCCAGAAAGCTCACAGGTACCGAGAAATCATGCCTGGAAACTTCAGACACTGCCGTATACGGTCCAGGGTGACAAGTAATGAAAGACAGCAACAGGACTGCTAAACCAGCATGAAAGCTATAGATGCCGTGGCGTGGTACTTAAAGCTCTTGCACTTGTCTCTTGGGGATATTGCTGAAGTTTTCGTTTACATATTCAAAGGCCTTCTAGCATGAGAGCGCTCCGCAACGTCGTGTCGGGACCGTGTCCAAGTGTCACTGCTTTCTCTGAGAGGACTTTCAGGTGCGTTCACCACGACAACCCCAGGAACCGGGGTTGTTTGACAACAGGAACCGGGTTTTTTCAGCCCTGCTATGACAGCGCTACCCCTGCCCCGCCACGGCTGCCAAGGGGTTGGTGAAGCGCGGAGCCCACGGCCACCCACGCCGCACGGGGCACCGCAGCGCCGGGAACCTCCTTCCCAAAACCGGTCGCCGGTCCCGCCGTACCTGGCTTCCCAAAACCCCCGCCCAGGCGCTGCCCGCGTACCTGGCTGCGGCAGGGCCGCAGGGGAGAGTCCAGGGGAGACCTCCGGCTGCTTGCGCTCCTTAGGGGCGTCCCTCTTGCCGCCGCCAGCCCGACCGCCGGGCACGGCTCTCCTGGCAGCGGCCACCGCCTCGTCACGCTTCTTCTTCTGCTGCTGGCGGCGCTCGGCGTCGCGCAGGACGTCGAACGGGTCCGACTCGTCGTCCAGGAGCTGGTAGAAGCGATTGGCGACGGAGCACCCGAAGTTCTCCTGCATGACGGCAGCCACCGGGCTGCCCACCAGCCCCGTCATCATCCGCGTGGCCGCCTCTCCTCCCCTGACCGCCCCCTGTCCGCGTTCCGGCAGCCGCCGCACCCCCCCCCTCCAACTCCCCTCCGATTGTTGCTGCTGTGCGGGGCCGAAACAACGAGCACGCCGGGCTCGAGCTGCCGCGACCGCGGCCACAGCCCGGCCCACGCACCGCCCCAGCGGCCCGGCGCACCTTCCCACAGCCCCGCCCCGGCCTGGACCCGGCAGCCAATGGAGCCCACAGCGCACCCGCCGCCACCGCGCCACCACCGCCCTATAAGCGAGGCCCAGCCCGCCCACCGCCCGCACGCGCGACCGGCGAGTAATAGAGCAGCCAATCCCGGCGCCAGGCTTCGCCCCGCCCCCAGTGACCCGCTTCGGCCAATTAACGTGCAGCGCCGGAGCTGTCAATTACACTCACTGACCAATGCGGTGCGCCACTCTATTACTCCCCTAGTGTGCGCCCCACCGCCCCGGTGGCTCCACAGCCGCGTCTGCTGCTCCTCGGGCACGGCGCGGGCACGGCGCGGGCACGGCGCGGGCACGGCGCGGGCACGGCGCCCAGTCCCGGCGGGCCCCGTCCCGTCTGGGGACATTCTCTAGCAGCAAGCACTTCAAACGTGGTGCTGTCACACAACGGTGTCGCCGCGGGTCTTTTGGTACAACCTGCATCCCGTAACAAGTGACACCAACGACAGAGGCGCTCGCTACACTGGGAGCTCCCAAGGGTAGCTCTGCTGTATCTCTGCATCCGCACGCTAGGATAAAGTAGTCTCGTGTTACCATAAAGTGTCTGAAACGCCTCTTCTGCTGAGAAAAGGAGTGGTGCTCATCCCGCCAGCGAGCGCCGCTGTCCCGCGCGGTGGCACTGCCACCAGCTGACACTCGCAGCGCTGCACGGATTCACAGCTTAGCTTGGAGAGCTGCTCCGTCCAGCCAAAGCCGTGGGTGGGGCAGTCTCTAACCCCCACGGTAACAGATTTTAGTGCAGCACCCCTGTAGGAGCCGTGTTGGCTGCCCACAGCTCTGGACCGAGGTGTGAGTACTTTTGCCGTCTCAAAAATTTCTCAATAAATATGACCAACAGTGAAATGCCAGGAGACTCAACTGCTTTTTTCCGCAGAGGACGGGCACCTGGGTAGGCAAAATATCAGTTCCTCTTTTATCAGTAACAACAAAATCTTAGCACTTCAGCCACAACTGCCCAAAGAATGGCGATCGCAGTCTTGATTTCTGTGATGAGACTGTCTTTATTCTGATAGTTCATGGGAAACTAACACTCTATCATGATAACTTCACTGTAAATAGCACCTTGCTTTGAAATAAATTTTATCGTTATTACAATAACTTGTAATCAGAATTTTTGCTATGCTTCAAAAGTAAGGATTAAAGACAGCCCTGTTCTCTCATTTGGGGTGCATCTGCTGATAGATGCACACCACTGTAAAACAAAATATAGTGTATATCCTCTACGGATTATTCCAAGCCTTGAACATATTCATTGCATCTCTCCTGGCTTTCATGTAGACACACATTTGCAGGGCATGCTTACTGCAGAGTAAAACGAATTTAATTGGACTTAGTGCTCTTTCAAGTTTCAATTCCATTGAAGAGATCACAAACTGTTTTTCATGGAATTAATGACAGTAAGTTCAGGCAATTATCTGCTAGCAAGGAGCTTTACAAAATCCTGGTAAATTGAGTCAAATCTCTCAGGCTCTGAACTGCTTCAAATTAAAAACAGAAAAACTTAAGTCAACTGTTACCGCTGAAGATGAATAGATCACACGGACACAGCTCGAGGTGTGGTGAAAGGAAGAGAAAGTTTATTTTTTCCCCCAGGATTTATAGGCTCCTGACCACGGCCAGGGATTGGATGGTCAGGATAACACTTTCTCACTGCACTGGCCATGAGAGATGCCCATCACAAGACGTGTAACAGAAGGAATGTACACATATCTATGTTAACAGTTACTGTCCTGGGAAAGTCCTTAGAAAACGATGTTAGCAAGCTCAGAAGCTGAGTTTTCAGGGTGACAGTCAACAAAGGAAAAATATCATTATTTCTGCACAGTTCTTATGTTGCAAAATCTATGATTAACAAAAATTCATGAATAAATTTTCAATAATGTGATAAAGTAATAATATATTGTACGAGAAATGTTCACTTAGATCAACCTTATTTGCCTCTGAATTGTTGGTTTGATTTGTAGAAAGATGAAACTTCGTGTGTTTTCAGTGTGAAAAGGGAACTGGAAAGCTATTTTGTCCTCTACTAATCTGGAGAAAGACATTAACACCATCACATTACTACAGCATATCAGAAAACTTACCAAATCTCTGCAGATCTTTTTGGAGCCTTTTGGTATCAATTGCAGCATCTACATTAGGTCTCCTTGGCACACGTTGTATCCAGAAAGTTTTTTAGAATTTTTAGAAATATTTTCATTTAAATATTCTTCTATTCAAAAATGAATATTTGATTCAATATAGGTTTGAATCAAAATTATGCTGTTTATGAAAGATAACAGACAACCATCATGGTTCAGTGCCATCACTCACTGAAATGTCCTTGCAGCTTTAATAGGTACTTTGAAGGTCATAGTGTCTCTGGAGAGGGATGAATACGAGGAATTCAGAAATATTTCAGCAGTAAGATTAGAGATTTGATGTTCTGTGGGATTTGGCTTTTTTTTCATGAAGCCTCAAAAGAAAAAAAGTCTAACTGCTCAGAGAGATTCCACAATGACAGCCAAATCCATTGTTTGCTATAAATTTATCTTGTCTTTATCTGTATTGCTCTGTTTCCTAAAATTAATGTAAAGCTTTAAAAAAATTCTTTGTTTTCTGATGCTCTGATCTGTTAATCAAACCAAAATTTCTGTAAGAGATTCCAGCCTCCAAACTGATTAAAACTCTTGCATGATAAATAAAAGTAATTTGCAATCTCTTTTTTGCTTGCAGTTGTCAGGAAAATTAATCCACAGTGCCACAGGTTTATGTCTAAAAAGCAGACAGAGGAATCCCATAGCTTTATTCATTAATAAAAGAAGAGGTCACAGGGCAATTTCCCATGGCAACTCTCAAATTGCTGGGGGATGCAGCTCCTTTTTATCCTAATTTCTGAACCCCTTTTCCTTCTCTCTTTCCTCATTGTCTTAGATACTTGAGAGGTACAGACTTCCCAAATTGCCTAATACAGAACCTCTTCTAATGCTCATCCTCTCCCCCACAGCCCTTTTCTTTGTGTCATTTTTTTTCTCTAAATCCAGGAATTTAGTGCAGCCTTGGGTGAGTAACAGTCTATGTCAATTAGTGGAATTCTTCTGGAATTTATGGTTCCTACCATTGCTTCTTTCACCTATCTACTGTTCTATCTACCAGCAGGCCCACAGTTTGTTTGTAAAAACACCTCCTTCTCATTCCTTTCACAGCTTTTCACTATGTGCAACCAGTGTGTGATTGTCAAGCTACATACTTACACAAACAACAGAGGCAGACAAGGAAAACTTGAATTTTACTGTCAACGTGTAACCAAATGTTGTGTCTGGAATTTTACACCAAAAAGTAGCAGCGATGGCTTCGGCACAACTGCCTATTTACATGCAAAGCCTGAATCTCACAATTTGAGCACTATGCATGGGTGGCTAACCTTTCTGGCAGCAAGTGACTCATGTTAAATCAAGATGAGGGCTGCCTGCCTAAGTGGCTACTCCATCTACATTCTTTCCACAAGTGGATTTTTCACATGGACAGAACAGCATGCTACATAGGTTGCCTAACAGGTACAGATATTGAATATGGCATTTTTACCAAAAGAGCCCTTGTTTATTTTTCCTTTTTTTTTTCTTTTCTTTTTCTCAAGGTGCAAAAGTGCCTAATTACAAGATACAGAATTGAGAACAGTAACTGGTGTTTCTCTGACCTTTACAGCTAAGTACCTAACCACCAACAAGGGTCATCATGTCTTTGATCTTTCTTACAGATACTTTCTCATCCCTGGACATTTCATTTTCTAGTGCCTACATCTCTCCTGTCTGAGGGAGAAACATCCCAAACACATCACATGGCTCAAGGTGCCATTCTGGGGCAGGGCGCCAGAAGAGGTAGAGAGGGTAACACTTAGAGGATATAGCCATCACATACGTTTTCCAGCAACATAAATCTACTAAGCAAAACTATCTACATGAAATCTTAAACCAAAAAGAGAGCTGCATCACCAAAGATTGACACACTTGTAGAGGAATACACCTAATGCTGAGAGCTTTGTATGTGAGCTGGACATTATGTCCTGGCTGGCAGCAAATGTCTGGATCCCCACCAAAGGAGCCACAAACAGGCACTGACCTTCTGCTAACAAAGGGCACAGGGACCTGTGGTGCTAGCTGGTAGGGGTGGGGGTGGCCAGTCACCTAGAGATTCTGCATGACCCAATGAGCAAGGAGAAGACCTCAGCCAAAATATCACTGTTGGATCGAGAGACAAGTGCAAGGGGCATAGAGGGTGGGCACAAAGATTGTAAGCATGTAAAAGCCCAGGGATTCCTTAGAAACAGTGTGTGCTGCTACTGAGTCGCTGCATCACAACCAAAATACTTACAAGGACTCAGTATCTGGGACATTGGTGTGGGAAATGTGGGGTCAAGATGGCAAAGGAAGGTCATCTAACAGTGTAAGTGTGGTGTGTGTAGGGATTCAAATGGGGCACTGTCAGATCACTGGAGCCACCCACTGCAAAGAGGTCTCAGTCCCAGCAGTGAAAATCTCACGGGTTGTGAATGTTAGTCCTAGAGTAGAATCTGAATGCTCAGAAAAGAGATCCAGAAACTTGAAAAATGTGATAATAAAGACTTAGATGAAAGATATTATTACCATTGTTAAGGTTTTTACATGAAGTCCATATTATAACATAATAAAATTACATGCAGTGTGATTGTTTGTTATTATCTACCTAAAGGCCATAATCTAAAGTGCAGGCTTTAAAGAAGTAGAATACCTATTTTCATCTTTATTTGTCATGTTTTGTTCTGGTACAGAGTTAGTTGTTTTTATTTCTGAAAGAGTT